TATATAAATTTTTATTAAAGTGTCAAATTACATCTGTGAAATTTCAGATATGCTCAGTATTTCACAAGTTCTTCCAATCATTTTCCAATATAATTTGCACTTACAAAATTTCTGCTTAGCTAGAAAAGTTTGAAACTGATCAGGTCCATTAAGCCAAGATTATTAGTCTTCCATATTCCACAACAGCAATCATAAAGATATTTCTCTTGTACCTACTGTGAGGAAGACAACATGTCATGTTCTATGAGGCATACACAGATGTATAAGATGCAGTCTCTAAACTCAAAGAAATTACCAGTCTAATAACTGACACAGAAAATTTGAGAGCATTGCACAGTGAATACCACCTAAATTCTATAATTAACATTTTACTACACAGCATTTCCTGTAACTGTATTTGCTTTATCTATATTTTAATTTTTTATGGACCTAACTATTCATCCCTCTTTACATCCATCATCTTTTTTTTTTTTAAGATTTTATTTCAAGTAATCTCTACACCCAACATGGGGCTCGAACTCACAACCCCGAGATCAAGAGTCCCATGCTCCACCAACTGAGCCAGCCAGGCACCCCCTAATGTATTTCAAAGAAAGTTGCAGGCTTAAGTATGTTTCATACCTAAATACTTCAATATACCTATCATTAGCCAGAGCTTAATAGTTTTTAGCTGTTTTAGAGGAAATTTACATATATGAAATGTACAAATCTTAAGTGTCTCAACTGCAAATTTTACAAATGCTTACACCTCTGTAATCCAAACCCCATCAAGATTTAGAACATTATACTGTCACCTAAAAAGTTCCTTCTTGCCCATTCGCAATCTCCACCCCAACTCCCACCTAGAGGGAACCACTATTAGTGATTTTTTTCCTACCATAGATTAGTTTTGCAGATAATTTTAAAACTCAAAATTTAAAACAAAGCGTGATCAACAGACTGAGGAATCAAAAAAGGCTTCATGTGGATGGAGAGATGCATAGATACATGATAAAGTAAATATAACAAAGCGCTAACAACTGTAGAAATTAGGTGGTGGGTATAGGGGTGTGCCAGTTATCAATTTATTATCCCTCCACTCCAAATCTACTTTTCTTCGTCCTGCTTTGTGACACTAGAAACATTTTTCCTTCGCCAGCTTTAGAGAGGACAATGGAGTGACCCTGTAATGTGAAAGCAGCAAAGAGACACTTGCCTTTTGAATTCAGGCCTCCATCATAATCATTATTATAACAATTATATTATCATTATTATTATTGTTATTATTCGGCATGAGAGCCCAAGAGCCTTGCTGAGGAGACAAGTTCCAGCTGTGGCCGTGGCTCCAGCCTCCCCACTGACAGCGGGCACTTTTCTAGACCACATAGCAATAGTACACATACCTTTTCTGAACAGGTCTCCATACAAGCTCTGGGAAAAAGGGCCCTTTTCTTCTGCCTCATCCTAGAAATATTAGCTGCTCTTTAACACCTGCTACTTCTAGAACCCTTAGACTCAGAGCTCTTTTATGCCTTTTAGTATAACCACCTCCTTGTTCTAGTTAACATTTCATCATATTAAATTTTCAAAACCAGCAGAGGTCTGTCTCCGACTAAACTCAGACTACTATAAAGGGTTATTCACTGTACAGCTTTTCTGTATGTTTGAAAATGTTGGGGGAGCAGAGAAGCAAGAAGGCATATATTTTTTTTTCTTGCCAGCAAAAATGGGTTTATTCAGGGGTAACAGAGAATTGTACTTTGGGGCATGCAAACTATGGCAACTCAAAAAAAAAAAGGAAGGGAACATTATTTGAGGAAATTGGGAAGAGTTGTTTAAACTCCGTCCATTGGGGAAATTGACTGATTTGCAGGGGTATTTGATTTCTCGTAGGAGATACCATGTACATCTTTGCCAGTTGAAGCCTGTACTGGATGATTCATTCTTTTGATGATTCTCTGCAGGGGTCTATAACTGACAATTCTTCCTGTAATTGATGTTGAGTGGTATGGTTACCCCGTCTAGCCTCCCCTTCTATCCTCCTGATTCCACTTAACTGATGTTGCCCTATATTAATTTTCACAGCCATTTTGGATATATATCTCCTTCCTTTATCACCAATTTCCCTCACTTTTAGCCAGCATTTTGGCTGATCTGTATTGTTTGTTTGCCTATTGGTGTAACCAGAGCCTTCATTCCTGAAGGATCTGAGCCCTTAGCTGCCCTGCCCTTATTGGATTGTGGCTTCTGCAGTTGTCTATTCAAAGGTCTGACAGACCCAGTTTAGGCGCTTCCCCAGATTTGCTTGGCCTTCCCTGCTGACTGGACCTTGGCTGCTTGCATATTTTAAAAGACTGATAGGGGCGCCTGGGTGGCTCAGTCGTTAAGCGTCTGCCTTCAGCTCAGGTCATGATCGCAGAGTCCTGGGATCGAGCCCCACATCGGGCTCCCTGCTCCGCGGGAAGCCTGCTTCTCCCTCTCCCACTCCCCCTGCTTGTG